GAAATACTTGGCCAGCGTCACCACTGCATCACATTACAGCGACACACACACCGACACAGAGCTGCTATCACCGCACACACATGTCCACAGCCCAACAACATGCATGACACGTAAACAGTAATAATGACACGTCATTAACACACACACACACACACACACACATACACACAGACAGGGTTGCTAAAAAAACAATGTATGAAAGACAGCAGTCGACTCGGTGCACTCAGCCTATCACCGCATCACACACAAACACCCCCAATACAGAGAAAGTGGTTGCCATAGAAATCAACAGACTGCTTAGTCACTCTGAGAAAAGATGAATGCGACTGTGTGTGAGTGACTTTATAACCAGCTGATGTCATTTTGCTATGAAGATACACCCACCTACAGTTACTGCAGAGGTGTCGGTGCATGTTCAGGTGTGCATGTGTACATTAACGTGCGTGTGTATGCATTTAACTCTATTCTGATGTAACAGACGCTGCATGTGAGGTCGTGTCAGGAAACGTGACACTGCTGACAGGATGTGTGTGTGTTCAGATGACATAAAGAATACATGTACACACTGATTCTCCCTTTGATTCCACAGTGAGCATGTGAAAAGAGCTGAGCTGGTGAAAGACAGTCATATTAATATAGTATTCTCTACTGACTATAATGAGATTATATGACACACCCACACGTCTATAAAGCAGCTGAAAATGCAATAAGCATCAAGAGAAACTATAAAATACGGTGAGTCACTACTGAAAGAGAACGAGGCAGCATTAGAGTAATGAGAGTGATGCTGACGGAGGGGAGAGCTGCGTGGAAAGTAACAAGGTACTATGTGGTGAAACAGAGCTGGTTGGCTGGTTGCCAGTCCAATCAGAAATGGTCCTGAGGTTACACAGCACAGCGTGGATCAAGATGTTATATAAGCAGCTAGCTCTGACACCACCACTATCTTAACAGATCAATACCTGGATACAGGGCAGTGGATGAGGACTCATTTGGACTGCAGCCTCATTAACAGTGATGTACTGTAGTAGTGAACAAACAACTGGATAAACTAGGACACCAGTTACTTTAACCCAGAATATAAATGATGCCAATCAAAAAAAAGAAAAAAATGGCCCATTTGCAATAAAGTATAACAAACACAAGATCATTTTGTCATTCACCCCACGTCTTATTAATAGGTTACATCACTAATGACTTTTTCTAAATAATGAAAAGCTCAATATTGTTTTGTTTAGACAATCTGTGTTTGCCGAGAACAAAAGCACTGGGATGCTACATAGATGCCCCACCCTACGAATCATATTCCAGACGTAAGGGAACAGGACTGTTTGGTAGAGGCCCCAGAAAAATTACTTTATCCTGATTTTTATATTTTTCTCAGTGAAAATTTAATACCAAAATTACCATCCATCCATCACTCCATTTTCATCCACTCATGTGGGGCTGGGTCGCAGGGGCAGCAGGCCCAGCAAAGCACTCCAGACGTCCCTCTCCCCAGCAACACTTTCCAGCTCCTCCTGGGGGACCCCAAGGTGTTCCCAGGCCAGATGAGATATGTAATCCCTCCAGTGTGTTCTGGGTCTACACCGCGGCCTCCTACCAGTGGGACATGCCCGAAATGCCTCAAATGGGAGGTGCCCAGGAGGCATCCAGATCAGATGCCCAAACCACCTCAACTGACCCCTTTCAACGTGAAGGAGCAGTGGCTCAACTCCGAGCTCCCTCTTGATGCTAGAGCTCCTCACCCTATCTCTAAGGCTGAGCCCAGCCACCCTGCGGAGGAAACTCATTTTGGTGGCTTCTATCCGTGAACTCATTCTTTCGGTCACTACCCAGAGCTCATGACCATAGGTGAGGGCTGGGACGTAGATGGACTAGTAAATCGAAAAGCTTCACCTTCTGGCTCAGCTCCCTCTTCACCACGACAGTCTAGCATAGCGCCCACGTCACTGCAGATGCTGTGCCAAACCGCTGATCCATGTCACGCTCCATTCTACCCTCACTCATGAACAAGACCCCGAGATGCTTTAACTCCCTCGCTTGGGGCAGTAAGTCACTCCCAATCTGGAGGGGACAATCCACTGTTTTAGAGCAGAGAACCGTGGCCTCAGACTTAGAGGTGCTGACTCTCATCTCTATGTGCTCAGCTGAAATCTGGTATTTTACCTTTGACTGGACAGTAAGTTAATCTAGAAGAAGAAAAGCGGATCTGTCCAATGTGCTGTCTAAACAATATAGAAAATGATATAGAAATATATAGAAATTTTCTCCCATCATTTTGTTTTTCGTTAACAGTGACATGCTTTATTTAGGAGGTTAAAAATAGATATTGACTTTGGAAATATAAAAGATTCAAAAGGACTGAGAAGACATCTGTTAACTTTTAAAACATAGACATTAGCCAGTTATGTAGAGAAAAGAAAGAGGGCTCTGCATCCAGAAAATCTGTAAATGTTTGGCATTTTCTCATGTGAGCAGTTAATTTGGTATGTTGTTTGTTTTGTCTTTAATTTGATTGTTTCCTTTGTGTTTGCTTTCCTTTTCCACATGTTCTGTTTTGTTTTGTACACGCAAGACTGCAGGATGGTTGTGAAATAACTGCGTCTTGTATTCCCATGTGGGATGACTCTAAAAAGGCATGACATTAAAACAAAAATAAATATGGAGTTCATTATATTACACATTTTTGCTTTAATACAGAGGCTAAACAGAGTTTAAACTGGTCTGCTAATGGTGCTGCTCCACTGCAGTAGTGCTTGCAAGGGGAATATGAAGTGTTTCCCATCATTGAAATGCAGCACCAGAACACGTGATCTGTCCATACATGGTCAGAAATGTCCACACAGTCTGATCTGTACAGTGGTTTCACTATGTGAATTGAAATTCCTGATACAAGTGATAATGCACTGCAGAACTCACTAAACCCCCTGTGCTCAAACCCAGAGGGCATTTTTTCAAAAATATTTTGGTCTGAAGACAGTTTCTGCACTGTATGAAATATAAACTTCAAATTGGACCTTTTTAAATAATCATGAACATTTTGAAGTGTCTACACTGCTGCTACGAGGCCTCTCTGCTGTGTGTCCCTGTTTATACTGACTGAGCCTGCTCTGGCAACATTGATGCCTCGGCTCCGGCTGCTGCACTACGTCATTAGCAGATTATGTCAGGTAGTAATCATCACTTGATAGTAGCAAGTGGTTACAGTTAGCTTCACTGTGGGACCTGAAGCAACTAACAGAGTGAGCAGAGCATTCAGTAGGTTAATGTTACAGTCTTATAACATTACTAAAGCTTATCAAGAATCAGCCAAGTTGCCCTAGGAAAATGTTGGCTTTGTACATTTCTGCAAACTATGAATACATTACATTTGCACATTTCATACCCATCATATAATCGTCTCTAAAGTAACATAAATACGAGCTGACTTTGCCATCTGGGGTGGAGGGGAATTGTGTAGCACCATGGCAAAAGAACAACAAACAACAACAACAACCAGTTGTGAGTTAGAGAGTCACTGTTTTTCGAATGGCTCTTAAGGCACCAAATGTGGGTGTTTTTTAGAGACCCATCACTGTGTTTCCAGCAGCTTTTTTTGGCGACCCATTGTGGTGTTTCCAGCAGCATTTTTAGCGACCCACTGCTGCGTTTTCAGCAGCGTTTAGCTAACCATTGTTGTGTTTCCATCAGCTTTTTAGTGACCCATCACTGTGTTTCCAGCAGCCTTTAGCTACCCATCACTTTTTTTCCAGCAGCTTTTTAGCGACCCATCACTGTTTCCAGCAGCTTTTTTACCAACCCATCAATGTGTTTCCAGCAGATTTTTTACCAACCCATCAATGTGTTTCCAGCAGATTTTTTACCAACCCATCAATGTGTTTCCAGCAGCTTTTTTACCGAGACATCACTGTGTTTCCAGCAGCATTTTTAGCGACTCATCACTGTGTTTCCAGCAGCATTTTTAGCGACCCATCGCTGTGTTTCCAGCTGGGATTGTGCCACAAAAAACATCTTTTCCTAACCATAACCAAGTGGTTTTTGCCCGTAAACATAACCACACATAATCCACAGTGTTGTTTAAGTATTAACATAAATGCTACATGATAACAAACAAATTAACGTGTGCATGGTTTGCAGAGAAGTACAATGACAATATTTTTTCTCTGGTGACTGGGTTGCATGACTGCTATCCATAAGGGTTTCATATGTTTCAAACTTGATGAAACTTAAACACATTTTGATCTAAATACATGCCTATTAGCTGCTCTAAACAAAGTCATTTTTTCTCTTGACCAGCTCTCCATCAGTTCTATGGATCTGACAAACACATACTGGAAGCATTTGATGCAAGTCTGCATGGGCCTCTATGTTAAATCACATTTGGACTAAAGACAACTGTAAAGCCGCCACATGCAGTTGAGTGAAACAATGCTTCCACTGTACGTACCGTACATTGTGAAGCTATTTAGTTACATGTGCAATCATCTCAACAAAGCATCTGGATACCATCAAGCCCCTCATCTTCAAAGACCACAGAGAGGAAAGACCACAGGACTGCTTTGTATCTTCAGTTTGGCCACATCAAGATCTCTTTGGCAATTACTGTTTTCTTATTATGATAAAATGTACAGGAATTTGTCCTGGACTTCACATAAACTGGCAGCATTTCTCAGCACATACTGAGTCATGGTGAGTCTATGCTACAGGGAAAACTTGAAAAATCAATAAGACAAAATTTAGTCACATTTATAAAAACAAATAAGCATCTCAAACATTATACGAATATTAATACTATTCAAAATAAATTAAATGAGTTTGACCCAAGTTAATGTTTAATGACTGACTTGTTTTGCAGCAGTCAACATCTCAGAGTGCACAGAACATTTGCTTTTCCAAAGACCTATGCTCCAGAACACACGCAGGCAATAACAAAGTGGAAAACACACATAACACACGTGCTGGTCCCATGCATAACTGTTGCCACAGACATAACTTACTCTTCTGTCTTCTTCTCCTCAGGCTACACTGCAGCAAAAAAACACATCCAGCAAGAATTCATGGAAGCTCGCTCACACTCCTCTCTTCAGTCTGACACGCACTTGGCTGGCTGTCCACCTCCACAAACACCCCTCACTGCGCTGGACTGCACGTTCCTGCGTCGTATCTTATCCCATCACTGCTGTGTGTGTTAAGCGTGTGTGAGCACAGACGAGGTAAGAGACTACGCAGGCTCTGACGGTGGTTGAGTGAGGGAGGGAGGGGACAGAGAAGGAGAGTGAGAGAGGGATACACCTCCCTTTTTGGTTCTGAAACACGAGCAAGCTGCTCAGTGCTGCAGTAACAAGAAACACACACACACACACACTTTCCTCAAGGTCTAGTGTGGGAGGGGATAGTCAGTCCCATGTCTATGTTTACAGAGAGCTGGTGTGTGTGCGTGTGTGTGCCAGGTAACCTAACCCTGGTCAGGGTCCACCCTCCACCACTGAAAACTGTAGGAGGGGCCAGTACTGACCGGTCCAGAAGATGGGTTGGCTGTTGCTAAGCAGCATTGGGCCCCCTCCCTGTTACTGGCTGAGGGGAAACAGAGAGGGAGGTTTGGACTGAAGGAGAAAGGGGCAATGAGAGTAATGGAAAAGTAACCCATGTATCTGATGGAGAGGAAAACAGGAGAAGTAGAGGGAGGAGTAGAGAATGCACTGGTGAGCCAATGAAAGGAACAGTGAGATTACAGAAAATCAGTCATGTATGTCCTGCCAGTGCAATGAATAATAACCAAACCAGTGGATTAGCAAAGGACCTGATCTGAGAACTAAACTACTACATTAAAGGAATACTTCACCCACAAAATGACCATTTGCATATCAGCTACTGACTGTGTGTTAAGGAGAGACCGATACATCGGCCGGCCAATATATCGGGCCAATATTTGAGTTTTTTACTTGTATCGGCATCGGCCGATACACGCGTGGGTTCGCAGATTTATTTTTCCCTGGCATGATTTACAGACAGGCATCCACGGGAAGCTCTGTGTTGCCGGAAGACCCTGCAGCGCACATGCAGCGAATCCTACTGTGTACAGTAGTTGTTGTTTTATTTATGCTTCAGCTTCAATATTTGTTTATTTTATAAAGACATTACTGGAAGATTTAAGAGCACTGAACTCTTTTTTATTTGAATGTATAATAATAATAATAATAATAATATTCTACCTGTTCTACCTCAACTTTCCATCTTGTTTTAGTATTTTTTACTGTTCAATAAATGTTTCTTATTTTAAACTTGAGACCTGTAATATTTGTTATCATTGTGTCATTTTTTTGATGTAAACTGAGGGAGCAAAAGCAGTATCGGCCCCAAATATCGGCTCAAGAAAATCAGCAGTCCATAATCAGTCATCGGCTAAGGGTGATGGAAAAAAATCGGTATCGGCATCGGCCCTAAAAAATCCGTATCGGTCTATCCCTACTGTGTGTTGCCTTAAATTCATGAAGAAAACTTTTTCACTTCTAACTAGGGTTGGGTGATGTCTACAACATTCTGCAGCTAAAATATCTTCACTTTTTCTGCCTAAAACTCAAACTAGTTTTCACAAGGACAGACGAAATCCTGACATGCACGCATACACACACTGGCCCCGATTCCTGTACTAATTCTGTCACTCTTTAACAGTGTGAAACTGTCAGGAGAACCCACTCTGCAGAGAGCAGGTGCTGTCACACATGAGCCAGCACCTGAACCTGTTGGGTTCTTTTTTTTGGGCATGTTGTTCAAATTTAAGGAGTAGTACTGATGGTTGTAAACTAAAATGAATAGGATGCATAAGTTTGGCTCAATTTTGGGACAGTTTTTTTTTTTTTTTTTTTTTTTTTTTTTAACTAAAGTTGGGAAATGTCTGCTTAATTGACACATGACGATGTCCACAGTGAAACACTGTGATACGTGATGATGTTGTTTTTAGAAGGACAACATAAAAATGTGCGTTAATCAACCACCTGAACCCGACAGGGCTTGCACACGGCCAACTTTATGCATTGCACAATTACCCCGACTGAGATGAGGACAGAGCACTGCAGGTGAACTGTGTGTTTGAGAAAGAGGCAGAAAAGGAAAGGGAAGGAAGGGAATAAAAAAAATACTGCACACAGTGTTTGTTAAATTATTGATAACTGGCTCCCTGCTCTGTCACATTTTGACCCGGCCGCTGAAACCTGTGATATTTTTATACCAGTGAATTAAAAAAAAAAAAAAAAAAATGCTGTCAACCCAGCTGATGAGCAGACATCAAAAGGTACAACTTGGTAAATAAATCAGAATTGTGACTATTAAAGCACGCAATGAATGCCATCAGTCCCACCACAAACCTGTGCCCCCTTCTTGGTGTGGATGGAGCTTATAAATCAAGATGTCTGGCTCAATGGTTGATACCTGACGGCCATCAGTGATGAACGATCACCCAACTCTAATGTGAACATCTGACATGTCACCATCGTATCGCCTAGAGGCACCTTCATCAGTTTGGTTGACTTATGAGACTTCCTGAACTTAAGAGAGACATGGTCGCCATGGTGTTTGTTTGTTTGTATTTCCGGGAGTTACTGCACTGCTGCTATGTCATCTCTGTCTTCTTCCGGGGTGAATGCCCGCAAAAGAAAAAGTGGTGCATGCGCCAAACGCCTAGTCCGACTCCAGTCGGACTAAATGCAGATACATGCAGCAATGGTTTGATTTTCAATCGAATTATCTAGGTGTGTTAGTCGAGCTACAGATAGTCCAATTTCAGTCGGACTAAGTTGTTTACATGCCTTTAAAAGTACAGTTTCAGTGTAACTAAGCCAATAATTTGATTTTCTCAAGCTGCATGAAAACGTACTGGTTGTTGAGTTTTTTGGACAACATCACCTACCTCATGTGACATACTTGTAACTTACTTATGTAAGTGAAGTTATGCCTAACAAACATATTTATCTTAACCTAAACCACAATATTTTTTCTAATCCTTACCAAGTAGTATTGTTGCCTAAACATAAACAGAAGTTTATTTAACTCACTATTTGACTCACTGAAGCATGTAACAAGCAGAACTGACACACCCAAAACTAATGCTAAGTTTGAGGCATAGGGACACTGACCATGCTGCCATATTTGACAAGATGGGAGTGAGAACATGTTGAAAATTGACAATCAGAAGGCAAGTGACAGGAAGTGAATTAACTATTCAGTAGATAATAAAAAAATGCACAACCTTTTTGTTCTACAGGACTGATGCAGTACGCCCTCGCCATCCAATCTATTCAAGTTTACAAAGACTTCTCACACAAAAAAAGCTTGCTCATAAAGTTGACCCATCAGGAATGCTTGAGGTTTTGTAGTCTTTGTAGCTAAAAGGCGATGGATGCTTGTCTGTAGCACCAGCCTCCATCACTGAGCAGCTCAAAATGTCAGTGTGGGTGATGGAGGAGTCGGAAGAGTCTTGAAATGCCAGAGGGTGAAGAGGTTTTGTTCCAAACCTGAGTGCAGGCTGGAAAGGGAGCAATAAAAGCCTGAATTCTCTGGACAGTGTTATGGTTGAGTCACCACTTTTGAACAACATGAAAATGTTGGGACAAAATGTACTTTTTTTTTTTAATGGGGTAGTGAAGCCCCATTTGACTCTGTTCTGTGATGTCACGGTGTTCCCAAATCTCAGTAATAAATGTTCGGGACTAAGTTTTATTATGTCAAATTAGAGAGATGGGCCAAAATACTAAATAAAGATCCAAATCCAGACAACACCATACATATACCTAACAAGATCCAGGTTGTAAAACAGAAGTTATTTCCTTTAAGCTTAAAGAGAACAGTGTATGATCAAAGCAACTAAATACAAGACTTTACAAATGTGGCAACAGATCACCAACTTACATGAACTCACCAAAGTGTGATCCAATACTCCGATTGCATAATTCAAGTTGGCACTCACACACCACTGAGACCCTGCGGCAAAAATCCCCCTTTCAAAATCATTGTATCCAACACGGGTGACTGAGCAATCCACTGGCCCAGTAAAGCTAATAAGAAGACTTCATGTCATTCACACTGATCTGTGAAGGAGAGTCAAACAGACTATACTTACACAAGGAAATTTTACAAATATAATTTCTGTAATGTGGCCAATAATAGCTTATCATAACAACTCATCCATAATCACCTCTTGAAAGGTGTCCTGGATTGACCTAGATTAAGCTACAGTTCGTATGTGCACTGTAACAGGCTTCACTATTGGTTAACCTCCCTCCACCTTGGCACCCTGAGACAGATCTCTGCACTCACTGCCCTATCAGGTGGTAGCATCCAAGCTCTATAAAACCGTGGTGCACCAGTCACTCTGCTCCCTTTTGGGCTCAGCCACTGACGGCTGAGTCAGCTGGGCATGCAGTTAGAGGGCTCTGCATGTACTCATAGAAGTGGAGTTACATCTAGGTAACTATTTCTCCTCGTACACACTCAGATACTATTGCATCCAGCCCAGTCACCAGAAGAAAATGTTGGTTTTATACAGTTCTGCTAACCACAAATGTGATTTCATTTGCACATGTCAAATGTATCATATCAATGTTTCTAAAACAACATAGTATATGAGCTGACTTTGTCATCGGTAGGTGGAGATGATGAGTGATGGCGTGACACCCAGGTCAGATGTCCTGCCAAGCTGCAGACAACTGTTCAGGACCAACAAACAGTTGGTTTTGGAGTTTTCCTGCTGTTTTTCCACCAAGGATTGTGCCATGAAAAGCAGATTTTTTTATCCAGATATTGATGACTCCTCCAGCTGTGATTCTCGCAACAAAACCATGTTTTTAAACCCCAAACTGGATCTCTGTCCTAACCAGTGGTTTGGAAAAAATGTACAGTGCCAACATTTTTTCTAGCAATTGGGCCGATCACATCCCAATGGATATCTCCTTGCTGCAAAAGGGTTGTAGTGGCCATAGCAAGCTGTAATCACTGCTGCAAACACCTCTAAGGCATGACTTTTGTGAAGCAGACCTGCAGAGATGCAACAAACATCACTGAGATCTGGGAGGAACACTGCAATTTCCCTGCTTGCACACAGACTAGGCACCAGTTGACCAAATTTGACACTATAATGACACAACTCTCTCGAGGAGAAGAGTCGAACGTGTCAGGCTATCAATTTCCAAAAATTGACTGTCAGCCCTCCCGTGGAAGCTGGGGAGAGTCAGATCCCCCTGCCTGTCCAGGCCATCACAGTGATGGGAAAAACTGCTAAACGTGTATCTCCCCTGGAGACTGAGCGTACTCCTTCCTAAT